CCCTTACCCAGCCCATAAACCACAACCCCTCGGCTCAGGTACCATTTGGGGCTGTGGCAGCCCGGGAACGTGCACGGACACTGCCACATCACTGACACCCACCAGCTCCTGTCTGATTGTCGGCTGCACTGCAGATTCTCACGCTATTGGGGAAGTCAGCACCCCGTCCCTATCTGGCTGCCCTCATCCCACTGCCCGGCTCCAAGGCATGTGGAAAATCTCAGCCCACCTGACATCGGCCACGGAGATAACCGTCCTCACTGCTCCAACGTGGCCATAGCCGTCATCTCCCCACTGCTCCTCCTGCTCCATGCAGGGCTGCTGCTGTGGGACTCCCTGCAAATGTCTGTGAGCAGAGGGTTAAAGCACTGGTGGTCAGGAGGCCAAAAAAATAGGGAGACTCTCCCTCCTGTCCATCCCTGTGCCAGGGATGCTGAGCTGTTACTGTGTTCCTCAGGAGGTGTCATGGGGAAAAAAAATACCTTGAAAGCCCTGGGAGGTCATTTAATCTGGTGCCTGTCTCTTCTGCTGACATTGATACGGGAGGATTTCTCTACCTTACACAAGAGCTGCCCTGGCCGCCCCACAAGAATCCAGCCTCGCACCCCAGCACGAGTTCCCGGCGGGAAGGGGACCAGAGGAGGAAGGGCAGCACGGGATGGATGTGGGGCTGGCAAACCCCTGACGAAAGTGCAGCAGGAAAGGAAGGCAATTTGGGAAGCGAGCTGCACTGGCCGTCCCAGCTGGAGAAATCGAGCTCGGGGGACACAGGTCCCCAGTCCCTGTGCTGGGACCGTGCCGAGCCCCGTCCCGCTGTGCTGCTCACAAAACAGCCACAAACCAGAGGTTTATAAATATCCCTGCTAAACCTGTACACAGGCTTCCTGCTCTGGCGGGGCTATTCCAGGCCTGACACCCGATCCACGCAGGTCATCGAGCACCTCGGAGAACACACAGACGGACAAATCCGGACAGACAAATCTGGCACGCTCCAGGCACTGTGTCCGCTCGGCCCCAGCCATGCTCCCGCCGCCTGCCCACCCTGCCCAAGGTGCTGCAGTCCCCGGGGCTGCGGGCTGCTGGCCACAATTCCCCGCATAGCCATGGGCATGCATGGCGTCCACTGCTGGCATGGGCACGCAGACCACGCTGGAGATGCAGGTGGGATGGGAGGGACAGCAACATCCCCTTTCCCCGCAATTCGCTGGCAAGCTTTGTGCATGCCAGCCTCTGACATCCCAGAAGCAGCGCTTGCAGCCAAGGCACTTGCAAGCAAACCTGCAGTGTTCCGGGGTGGGATTTTTCTAGGGGTGAAAAAGAAAGCTTGGCCGAAATGAAATAAAATACAATATTCTGCGATATTTACGGCACGCACAGTGGGGCCACTCAGGCCCGTTAGCACAGCATAGCATGGCCTCTGGTGCGCTGGTTTTGTTTGCCACTGCTCAGATGGTGACGGGCAGACTCTGCCTTTCAGTAAACCTGGAAAACACACTGGAAGGACATGGAGGCACAGTGCTGGCTGTGATGCTGGGAGGAGCAGTAGCAAGAATGGAGCACGGCTGTGCTACCATGAGACACGGACGGGTGCATGAAATGAGCAGCAGAAAGAAACACAACTCACAGCATCACCAGGCAGGGCTAATTCTTGCTTCAGGCCACATCCTGGCCTCGCATCTCCAGCAATTCCACCAGCGAGCACCACGCTCTCGGGCACAGGAACCATCCTGCACATGGCTTAGTGCAGCCACTGTAGGGTGGAGCGTGCTAATGCCGTAATCACTCACAGCAGCGCGATGGAGACAGGCACGACCAAAACCCAAAGAAAACTCCAGCTGAAGATGAAAAGCTGACTTAATTAGAATGACATAATGCAATTTCCTAGTTGACCAGAACATCAGAGACAGCCAAGCTGAAGCAAGACCTGGCTGAAGCTTCAGGGAAACTGGAGTTGCAGAATATGCAGTTTCACCAGATTCACAAGGCTCTGAGAAACTGTGACAAGCTTGTTTGAAAAGTGTGAAAAAGTCTTGGAAATGTCAAAGTATTTCAGCACCTTCTGGAGGCTGATGAAGCAACTGGATACTCCGTTCAGAGAGGCTCATTTCATTCTTTCTTGTACTACGTGATAGTAAGTTGCTTGCTCACAACTTGAGTGTGTTCTTAGTTTTTCTGTCTGTTGCAGGGCCAGTGACTGTCATCGTGCCCTTGACAGAGACCGTGAAGTTTAAAATAAATATATAGCCAATGCTTTGAGAAACATGCAGAAGAAAACCGTAACGATATACTGTGTTTTTTTTTCCACCTGCTGTGGGTGAGAAGGACTAAAAGACATTTCCTTAGCTCTGTGCTGCTGCACCATACTGCAGGTGGCACCTGCAAGGCAATTTTTACCTCTCGGTGCCCCAGGTTTCCGATTTAGAAGCAAGTCACGAAGGACACGCGCACTCAGAGCCCTGCGAAACGCTCGACACGCAGCAGCTATCACTGCAAAGCTGGACACGCGCACCTCACCTGGTGCTCAGCTCTTGAAATTCGGCTCCTCAGCTGGCTGGTGGTCAGCCAGCAGGACCAGTCAGCAACGTTACTCGTAAAACTGTCTGCACTATAAGTTTACAACTTTCCCACAGGCCATTGCTGCCTCAAACACTTCGCTCTCTATTCCAGCTGCTCCTTAGACCCTTTGCTGCTACGGAGAGCTTTGCATTTTTAGTTCCTTGAAGCACAGCCCATCTAGCCTAGGGCTACAGGTTTTGCAAATAAGGAGACCATCCCTTTACCGAATCAACTAACCAAGCTCCAGCTGGGAGAAGAAAAATCTTAATCTGAAAAAAAAAAAAAAACAAACCAACAACAAGAGAAAATATACTGCAGTTAAATTAAAAATTAAAAAAAAAAACAACGAAAAAAGACATTTCTAAAAAAAAAAAACTACATTACCCACAATTCACGGACATGCGGGAGGAAATGCTGGTTTTGCAAAGGAGGTTTAGCTTCAACAGCTGCAGTTTAAAAGCGAAATGCAGGGGGAGGGATGGGACTGGGCGAAGGAGGGAGGACAGGGAGGCAGGGAGAGCGGGGGGGGCCCAGACCTGCTGCTAATCCC